AAGAAAAACGCTCAATTTTGATGAAAAAAATTAATAAATAATGGAAAATGGCTAAAAATGGCAAACAAATGTCTGTGCCTCATCTATACAGACAAGTAGAACAATTTCAAAGTATTTTTGAGTCAATAGGTCACATGACCTGGAAGCTATTGAAGAAAAACGCTCAATTTTGATGAAAAAAATTAATAAATAATGGAAAATGGCTAAAAATGGCAAACAAATGTCTGTGCCTCATCTATAAGGACTATTATAATAATTTCAAAGTGATTTTGAATCAATAGGTCACATGACTTGGAAGCTATTGAAGAAAAACACTCAATTTTGATGAATAAAATTAATAAAAAATTGAAAATTATTTAAAATGGAAAACAAATGACTGTGCCTCGTCTATACAGACTAGTAGAACAATTTCAAAGTGATTTTGAGTCATTAGGTCACATGACCTGGAAGCTATTGAAGAAAAACCCTCAATTTTGATGAAAGAAATTCCTAAAAAATGGAAAATGGCTAAAAATGGAAAACAAATGTCTGTGCCTCATCTATAAGGACTATTATAATTATTTCAAAGTGATTTTGAATCGATAGGTCACATGACCTGGAAGCTATTGAAGAAAAACCCTCAATTTTGATGAAAAAAAATCCTAAAAAATGGAAAATGGCTCAAAATGGAAAACAAATGTCTGTGCCTCATCTATACAGACTAGTAGAACAATTTCAAAGTGATTTTGAATCAATAGGTCACATGACCTGGAAGCTATTGAAGAAAAACACTCAATTTTGATGAAAAAAATTAATAAAAAATGGAAANAAAAATGGAATTCAAATGTCTGTGCCTCTTCTAAAGGGACTAGTATAATTATTTCAAAGAGATTTTTGAGTCATTAGGTCACATGACCTGGAAGCTATTGAGGAAAAACACTCAATTTTGATGAAAAAAATTCCTAAAAAATGGAAAATGATTTAAAATGGAAAACAAATGTCTGTGCCTCATCTATAGGGACTAGTAGAATTATTTCAAAGTGATTCTGAGTCATTAGGTCACATGACCTGGAAGCTATTGAGGAAAAACACTCAATTTTGATGAAAAAAATTCCTAAAAAATGGAAAATGGCTCAAAATGGAAAACAAATGTCTGTGCCTCATTTATAAGGACTATTATAATTATTTCAAAGTGATTTTGAATCGATAGGTCACATGACCTGGAAGCTATTGAATAAAAACCCTCAATTTTGACGAATAAAATTCCTAAAAAATGGAAAATTATTTAAAATGGAAAACAAATGA